AAAAAAAAAAAAAAAAAAGAAAACCACATGTCCTAGGATATACACATAAAATCTTTCGACATGTTCGTGCAATGAAATACACATAAAAAAGATACACCATCAAGCACATTCTTTGCGTTTGTTACAGATATGACAAATTCCACAAACATGACTTTTTTACCCACAATAGACTGTAAGGGAAAAAGGAAAGAAAACATTAGAAAAAAAAAGAAGAGAAATGTGTTTGAGCAGTAGCAAGGAAAGGGACACCTGCTAATACGATGAAAACTGAATTTTCAACGGTTAACCTGCTAGCGTGAGGAAGCTCGCCGTCGAATAAGAATGCGGCACTAGCTCTTTAGACGGTCGATGGGCGCACAACACCGCGCGACGATGATTAATGTCAATTCACTGCCGCGCGACAGATACGATCACTTGTCTTGAGTAAATCGGCCCACTAACCGAGCATAGATCGTGCAATCTATATAGAATGTGTACATTTATGACAGCTCCGGTTAGTACACACGCACACTCACACGCAGGACAGATTACACGACTCTACGAAGCTCGTTGATTTTTCTCACATTCCCCTTTATCTGATCGAGAAATCAGACTTTTTTTTGCCACTTTTCGAAAAGAATAGTAACTGTTTCAAATCGCACTTCTCCCAGTAATACGAATGATACCGATGTCTCTGTAACCTAACAGAACGGAAATTGAAGTTGAAGTCGATCACACTTATAAAGAATCAGACGATTTAAGGTCCAAATCACGCACACGGTACACACAGTGCTGCAACACTTTCATTTACAACGTCAGATCCGAAAGTCACGATGACACGCAGTAGTTTACCACCGAACAATCAGTGAGACAGTCAATTACCCAGATATTCTACGTGAAATTCTGATGAAATGCTGAACAGATTTCTGAGAAGATCCTTTGAGAGTACCTTCCTTCAATGTCGTTTTCTTTTTACACTCCAATCGGAAATGGCGCATTTCGATGAACACGACCGGAAAACGGCGCCACTGTTGACCTATAAGATTAATTTCATTTTATGGTACATCCCTTTATACATAAGTAGTTAAGAAAATCGCTAATTTTCAGTTTTAACAATATCGTAATTTATATTTCTAATTTTATTATGATAAATCTTCTTTCTTTTTGACATTTTATTTTATCCTATTTTGAATTTATTCCACCGTAACGTATAAAATTGCATGTATTTTCAAAAAAAGTGGGGATCTTCGTTATTTATAAATTTTATATTTACGCATAATGTATAACACTGGATATTAAATGTAAATTATAATAGCATAAAGTGAAACATCTGAATTTCATAAATTCGCGCTAGGGATATTAAGTTAATTTTGTACAATAAATGTTTCAGGCGGATCCACAGTTTTTCTATATGATAAATCATTTTTTAAATATCTAAATTCCTAGTTTAAACTATTTTGGAGTTTTTATTTTATATTAAATATGTAGAATATGTGCAATTACTAAATTCATAAAATTAAAAAAACAGAAACTATTACTATGTAATAATATTGCTATTTTGTTTGTAATAATGCTTATAATTAAATTATAACTAAAACAAACATTTATTTCAAAATCAGTATCATTTAGTGATAATAATGATAAATCTTTTTAATGATAAATCTAAGTTACAAAATGAAAAATGAATTACAATAATAATTAAATGTCTAATAAATGAATTAAATTTAAACATAAAATGCAAAAAGAATAGGAATTTCATATATGAGTATTAGCTGCATTGATTGACTTTGATTCAATTGGTCAATTTTGAATACAATATTTAGAAATGGCCGCCAAATACCGGTTTTCCGCGAAATGATATTATCAATCTTGTGAATGTGTTATATATTAAAAATATGCACATACTTCGTATTTTTGGAATGTAAAATAAGAATTGCTTATATTGCATATGTGTATATGTATACATTATTGTATTTTGTGAAAGATTTCACTGAGAAAAATATCTTTTAATCATAGTGCATGTAATTTAAACGTACAAAAATTTATTGAATTTCCAATTTGAATATTATTAAAACTAAATTAAAGAACCAAAAGATTCGCTAAAATTCGAGATTTTATAATTATTTATGATACGTTAATTGAACATAATGGACAAATACCAACATATAAGAGCCTTTATATCAGCGGTTGTAGAATATACTAAACATCCAAATGAAACAACAGCTACAATTTTACAACGAAATCTTGGGGTAATTATATATTAATTTTATAATAAATTGAAAAATGACAACTATTATAATCTTACATGATACAAAAAATTTTATGAAAGATGAAATAATGAACTTTAATAAATATGTAATATTCTATTCAATATATGGAATGTTTTTTATAATAAAAATTTATGCTCAAAAGGTAATAAGTACTTCACTGGATTTGAGTATTTTTGACCCTGGAACGAGCATAGCAGCAGAGTTCTATGTTAGTTTACACGAGCTTATGAATTCATTAGCTTCTAGAACTACTTTGATTTGGAGCACTGTTGATGTTTTACAAAATGCTTGTCGCAATGCTGCTGCAAGACAAGCTCTTATTCATACATACAAATTTGCACCAATATTGGCAAGATTATTGGAAGTATGTATATTTGTTTTTGTTAAAAATATATATATACATAAAGATACATTTTTTATTATATCTAAGGTTCATCTTTGCAATAAAATTTCTTAAACTAAAAATGTAACAATGTAATGTTCACGTATAATAATTCCACAGGCAAATTTAACAAGTGAAAAAAGAATAAGAGTATTGAAACTACTTCAAGAATTGACATATGGCATAAAAATTTCATGGCAAGAAGCTCACTTACCTTATCTAGTATCAATATTAACACAATGGGTGACACAATCGAAAGAAGAAAATATTATTGCACTTTCCTTAGGTGTACTAGTAAATTTGTGCTATAAAAATCTTCCTGCTGTATATATACTAATGAGGACAATTGATACAAAAGCGTTTATAAGAACTTTATTAAAACTACAACATTGTAGTGTTAACACCAGTGTACAATGTTGTAAACTTTTGATTATATTAGAACATACAAATACGAATATTTCAGAGAAATATATTTTGGATTTTGCTGCTGTCACATTCAGTAGTCTTATCACTGCAATGAAACAAAGAGATGTTCTATTATTGAGACACATCATAGATTTCTTTAACGATGTTGGACAAAATGAGCATTCCCATGCTGTGTTACTAACATATCCACAGTGAGTTATTTTATAATTTTCGGTTTACTTTTGGTATTTAATATAAAATATGTTTATTGTCTTAATTAGTTATGGTAAAGATGTGGAAAATGTCTTGGCTACATTAGAAGATAATGCAGATCCAGAATGTGTTGCTCTTATGATGGAATTTTTGTCATCTTTAGTAAAATTAAAATTATCTTCTTTGGTGTCTCTATATCCTTTATATGTAAAAACTGCAATGACTTGGGTTCCAGTAGAACAGGTATATCTTCATTTTATGCAGATGTAAATAAAGGATAACAGATTATAATAACTCCTTTTAAATCAGGTGTGCTCTAAAGCATTAGCTTTGATAAGAATTACAGTGATTGAAGCACGACGTACTAAAACGTCTTCCGAGGTGCTGGCAGAATTAGATGCTTCAGTTTTAATGCTTATATTAAATACGGAAAATGATGAAATTCAAGGAAAATGTGAATTAACATTAGAAACAGAAACAAAATTAGCAGAGTTAATGCAATTATTTCAAGAAATGATTAAAACATCTACACTCAGAACAAAAATCATGCAGTCCTTTAGTGAACAAATAATACGAAAATTATTAAATCCAATGTTAGATTCTGAAATATGTGCAGCTGATAATTGGCCAGGAAATTTTATTCAGGTATTGTATTTTTGTTTCTTAAAATGTGACTATTTTTTGACGGATATTTTTGATAATCACTTTTTATTATTTTAGAATCCTACTACAAATCTGTGTATTCATGCATTAGCTTTGACTGCTGATTTAGCAGCTGATAATTCGCAATGGCTAACATTATATTCGGAATTACTTAGAAAAAAACAAATTCAAATAACGATGGCGACTGCATTGTTCACTGGTGATGCAGATATTAAACAAAAAGTTCTGCAATTAACATCTACCATCGGATTTCCTCAAGAATGGTAGGTTTTATCTTAATATTTTTTAGTTGTTGAACGAAATACAAAGATTTTAACAGACACTATCACCCAAATAAAGCATTAGCTATATTTTCACTATTAAAATTGAATACTTCAGCAACAAATTATTTTAATTTTTATTGATGACAACTCTAGACAAATTCACTATCACACGCAAATTGTATCCCATGTTTTTGTGTGACAAGTGTTTCCGCGGTGGCGTTTTGTATGAAGCAACTGGAGCCTTTGATATTGGTACAAAGTACTCCTGGTACGGTAACAAATATTGGAAGTAAAATGTCCATAAATGCAAATAATGAAATGGCTCCACTATTTTCTTTTGCACAAGAAGAACGGCTTGATGCGTTTTTAGCAAAATTAAAAAGAATCTATGAATCAAATCAAATCAATGATATTACTACATCAGCAGTGATGGAATTATATGAATATAAGGTATATCTTTTTTTATAATTCATTTTATCTCAAACACAAAATGCGTATTATATTTATTACATTTTTGCGATGTTAAAAGTTAGCAGCTATGAGACATGCAGAACGGGCCATGCAATCTAGTTTAGAAGCAGCAAACAATCATGGTACTAGTTTACAACATAGACTAGCACAAGTAATGGCAGAGTCGAGTCGTTTACATCAGATGTTATTTGATACACAACAATGCTTAGAAGGAGTAAAATCTACATTAACTGTAAAGCTTGCTGAAGCAGAAGAACAAAGTAAAAAAGCAATTGCTATTAAAAAACAGGTTAATATTTTTTATAATAAATCTAAATAAAGATAAATCAAATTTAAAATATAATAATCACATTTACAGGAAATCGAGAGTTTGAAAAAAATAGTTTTAGAAAAAACTACTAACATTGATCACTTAAATATAGTTCTCGTACAACATAAACATGAATTAGAAAGTAATCTTAATCGAATTGAAGCATTAACTAAAAAAATTAAAGAGTTAGAAGTTGAATGTGCGAATGCAAGTGCAAAAACTATGGAAATGGCCAATAAAAATCACGAACTAAGTAAACTACTTCTTAAAATGCAAGATCAGTTAAACAAAAAAGATCAGGTATGTTTGTATAAATTCAGTTGTTATAATAGAATTTATAACTACATATTCGATATTAAACAGATAATAGAATTCAATTATAAAGAAATGTATATTCAATATCAAATAGGTAATAGAATTAAAAACTGCAGAAATTCAATCGAATCAAAAAGATATATCTGCACTCAAGCAAGAAACCCAACAATTATCACAATTAGTACAAAAATATGAAAAGAACATTGCTGAAAAGGAAGAAACAATTAAGAAGATGAAAGCAGAATTGATGGATTTAAGTCGAATGCGTGATATGATTTTCGAACTTACTGCTAAAAAAAAAGAAGATTTAAATAGTTAATACTGTATTTTTGTTGTAAAATTCATTTTCAAATTATCAAAAAAATTTGATAATAATTTTTATAAAAAAATTTCTTATTAATAACTTTTTTTTACATTTTTAATATAAGCAATTGAAAAATAAATAATGCATACATATATTTACATTAAAGACCAGCAATGTTGATTGCATGATTTATTTTATAAATATAATTTTGTTCTTTATTATTATTATTTAAATATAACTTTATATATTTTTATAAATAACTCAAGAAATACATATTTTTACTTTTAACACAAACAATTTTATCTTAAAATATTCTTGCATGCAATTTGTTTTTATTTTTAAGCATGAAAATGCGTAACAAACTAATCAAAATCGATGTAACTAATAAATTAGTTACTGTTGCTTTTCTTTTTTCGCTCATTATGTAACGCATGTGTTCGTACATCTGTAAACAATATATATGTATACATACACATACACGTGTGTGTGTAGTATTCATTTTTTAAATTGTTTTTTTTGTAAATATTTATATTAAACAATTTCCATAAATTAATTTATATTAATTTATAATATAATTATTTTTGGCAAATTGGCTTTGAAAATTATTAGTTAGCAAGCTCTCATTATCAAAAGAAAACTAAAATGACTTGTACATAATATTGATATGGAATATCAGTAAATAGTACATTATTTTGTTTAAATTTTTTGAAATAATTCCAATATTTTATTAACAATATATTCAAATGTTATATTTGCTATTTCTTTAAAATTTGATTCTTTTCTTTTTAGGCAAAATAATAATTAAATTATTAAGTTATCTCGTGAATAAAATTACGATTTTACTAAAATCTAACTGTAAGAATTATCTTTATAAAGCTTTTTATTTTCCTAACTTATTTGGATCTATAGCTATATACGTATTTTTCTTTATATTTTCATATTTTTTATAAATAAATTTGTAAAGTTATGTATTATCTCATTGGCTGTTACCAGAGGAAGTATAAAGATAAAGTATATTCAGTATGAAACATTTCAACTGCACAAAAACTGTGCGTGTTTATCATTTCTTGTAGTTATAAAAGAAAAATTCAATTCTTAAAAATTCTTGAATCCTGCACTATAATAATCATTTTTAAATTGTTTATATATATATTTAAAATTATTACGTAAGAATTTTACATACAAACCAAATATAACTTTTCAATATTTTTCATCTCATAAAAATATCCGTAACAATTTACTTTTTTTCGTAGTAAAATTAAAATAAATTAAATTACATCCATGTTTTTACAGATCACATTGATTTCAATCAAATTGAATATAGAAAATTAAGCGTTTCATTAATTGAAGTTTTAAAAAATCATGTCATATGAATTTTTTCATTGGAATGATATAAGTTCTGAACTTAAACTTCATTAACATAATAATACTGATGTAAACAAATTTTAGTTAATATACTTCTATATCATTTTACCAAAACAAGATAAATTATTCAATATTTATACATTTATGTTATTCAATATTATGGAACTCTACTCAATAAAGAATTGTTATTACGTTAAACTTAAAGTTTAACATTATGTTAAACAAAAAGAGCTTTGTCCCTAAATGATGAAAATGGTCAACATAATATTAAATTAAGCTAGAATGAACTGAGCGCAATTCGGTCTAAGGATAAATTATTTTCCATACTAAATACTTCATGTCCAACGAAATTTTGTCATCAACTTCTACCTTTACTCCATGATTGTTCTGTGGCAGATGCAAAAATTAAATAAAAGCAATTGGTTGCCATATTTATCCCTGCTGCCAACCAGAATACTGTATGCCATCGAGCCAATGTTTCCTATAATACAAAATGTAAAAACTTATTGAATCTTTTTCTCACAACAAAATTTATTATCATTTAATAACAATGTATAGTTATACTGACGTGTCCTTGAACTATTCTTCCAATAACATATGGAGCTAAAAATCCACAAGCATTTGCTGCAGCATTTGTTAGTCCATAAAGAGTTCCTGCATATCGTGGTGCTAAAGCAATGTGATTCATTTGATTCCCTGCATAGACTGCACCTTGTAAAGATCCTAATCCAGCCAGCATCATCATAACCGTCATACGATTACATTCAGCCCAGATAGCACCAATAAAACTCAAACTCGGTCCTAATGAAGCCACGGTGTTCCATAATTTGAACGATGCTAAAGGAGATATAAGCTGGCGGGCAAGAAGGGCATCTGCGAAACTTGAAATACCGAGTCCGAATAACCAAGAACTTAAATAAGGCAATGCTGAAAGGAATGCATCCTGTTGTACATCGAAATGCAAAATTTTATCCATATAAGTTGGTAATTCTGTTAAAAGCGTATAAAATGCCCATGACTGTCCACATTGGGTGATAGCTATAGCCCACATGGGCAGTGATGTAAATACTGATAACCAAGGAACTCCTGGATCATCATCCTAGTTTTAAAATACATTGGGTTATTAAATTTCTATTATGTGGTAAAAGTTTAATTTAGTAAGATTGAAAAGAACCTCATCTTTCTTTTCTACACTGGCTTCAATGTATGCTCTTTCAAGAGGATCAATCTTTCTATGTTGTGCAGGTGTATCATATACAAAAATTAGCCAAAATGCATACCACACAATGCCAAGCCCTCCAAATAAATAAAATGCAAGGGGCCAACCACCCCAAAGTTCTAATGAACAAAGCCATCCACTCACTGGTAGTGATATAACAGTTCCAAAATTTGCACCTGTATAGAAATAATTATGATAAATTGAATTTATCATATATCGAAACAAGAATAATTACCTGCATATACTACAGCAGCAAATTTGCTTCTTTCTAAAGGAGGTACCCAGTGTGCTAACATGCTATGCATTGCAGGAAACGTAACACCCTATTTATAAAATGATAGAAGTTATTTAAACTTATTTTTCCAAATATTAATTTGTAAAATGAAAAGGTACCTCTGTAAATCCTTCTGCTACTCGTACAGTTAAGAATGGTACTAATCCTATATAAGCTGCAAAAGGACTAATTACAGTCAATACAGCAGTCAGAAATACTCCTAATCCATATATTAGCTTTCCACCAAATTTTTCTGCCATTCTTCCACCTGGGACATTTGTAGTAACATAGCCAATGAAAAATGCACCCAATATGATGCCTTGTGTTTTCTCATCCCAATTAAACTCTCCTGCACTCTTTAAAAATTTATATTATTTTTATTTATTCTTATTGACAATAATTTAAAATAATTTAAATAAAAAATATTTTCAGAATATACTAAAACACAATATTAAAATCTTTTGACTAAAAAACATATTTATATAATAAGATAAAGACAAAAGACATAGGCGTTAAAACATGTGTTGATGTGTTAGGTCATACTAAAAATGATAAGTTCGTATGAGTAATGTGATTAAAGATAAAAGCAATGTTGACATTTAATCTGCATAAATATTACGGATGTAAAATACATTAGATTACAAACTAGAATTCAATACTTTACGAAATATGCAATATGTTTTTAATGATCAAATTCTAATCTTTATATAATATATAAAGATACTAAACTTGATATGAATATCAATTGAATTAAATTAGAACATTATGAATTAACAATTTTTAAAAAAATTATAAAATAACTTACTGGTATAAATGTTCCATTAATTGGTTTTTCTTTGGGACAAACATCTGTGGTATCATTATCATCACTATGTGGTATTGCTGTTTGATTTACCATTGAAACTATAGCCACAGATAAATTTACTCTCATAGCATACACAAGTGCAAACCCAAGAAATCCTAAAAAGCCTAATGTATGCCTTGCTTTTACACATGATTTTGTATCAGATGGTACATCTGCTATAGTAACTAAAAATACAATTTCATAATTAGGATTATTTAAACAAAGAAAAAAATAAGAAAATTTATAAATTTATTTAAATATATAATTTATAAGTATCAAATTATTTAAGTATATTTAATGTATTAAGTATATTAGGTATATTTATTGCTTAAGTATAAAATTGATAAATATTTAAATAATAATGTTTATAAAATAAATGAATTTATTATTAATACAATTTTTGACATAATATCTTCTAGAATTAATAACTGATTATCTAATTTAATTTTATACATATATTTTTCAAAATAATACTGGACATATGTTTCTGAATTAGAGTATATTCAAAGCTCAGAGATTATAATGAATTTGTAATTGCATCAAATTCTCGAATTATTTAACATTTTTACTCTCACCAAAATTTAGCTCAATTTCAATAATATATTATTTTAAATTAACCTGATATATCTTCTGACAGCTTTTTATACAATTTCTGGTTCTTCCTTTTTCTTGACATTTGTTATTATACTTTTGCTATATTCATTTACTTTTAAACACAAGATTTTCATTCATGTAGTAATTTATAAATAAATAAAAATTCAGTCATCATAACATGTTTTTAAAAGAAAAAAAGTAACTATCAAAAAACTTCTAAAATGTAGTTTCGACTGATATAGTTCACATAAAATAACATATTCAGATAGTTTAACAGCTGGTAATAATGGGAAGAGCTTATGCATCTGTCAATCCTTTGTTTCCAAACAATGCCTATCACGTTGAGAGCTCCTAATGATCTTGAATACTTTTAAAAAAGTTACGAAAAGAAATATTCGAATATAGTTTTTTCGATCGATATGAGAAAAGTATTTGAAATAAACCTTTTTCCAAAGAATCATTGACACACAAAGGCTGGTCATCTCTTGAAACACTGGGATCCAGTACTTCCATGTTGTGCGCTTTTTCCACAGATATTAAATCACTTTCACGAAGAATTGGTCGTTTGAAGCATCGAAACTCCAAGTTTACATAATTATAATCGTTTCATTTGTCGCGTCGATACGATAGAACAGAATGATATACAATTTCGTAAAGGAATTTTATAATGAATCGTGGCAGCAATACAACGCGTATTATGCGAACCGTCGTCTGCTGTCATCGTTGTTGGCGCGAATAGTTGCGCACTCACGTCATTTAAGACTAATACATACTTAAACTCGATTGTGTGCTGTAGGCAAGAACGTTGCGCAAGCGTGTTCTACTGCTTCTGAACTTTCTATGATTGAATGATTAAAGAATGAATTGAAACTTATTTGAGTCATTTGAGATGATCAAGTTACGTCTGACTCATTTGTGAACTTCGTTCAATCTGTGTCGTTATTAATTCAATTTTCTCAAATAATTACATTGTTGAATAAGGACAAAAATGAAAGAATTTTTTCGTATGAATCATACACGATTATGAAAAAGTAGCAAGAGCTACTGTTTTAATAATAGAAACTATATCGTCTTTTTGATAAAACTTTTAAAGAATTATCGGTTTGCATGAAATTATTCAGAGGAAATGAAAGAATTATGAATAGAAAAATTTCTCATGAATAAAAGACTTTTATTTACATGTTAATAAAATAAAGAACATAAACGTGTTTACATTCTTTTAATGAAAATCTGGATAATTTTAGTTCGTAAAATTCAAAAAATTTATTTAAATGTAAGACAAGTTCTTTATTAATAAATAACTGCGCTCTTTTTCTTAAAGAATATCGTATAAATAAAAAGAATTTATGTTGAATTATTTCAAATTTCAGCACAGCATAAAATATTATGTAATTGTTAAATACTTCAAAAATTACCTATTACATAATTACAAAATGATTATTTATATACATAATTTTCAATGTACTATTCCAAACTTCTTAGCAATTTTATAAGTTGAACAACTATTATTTCTAATACTCAAGAACAGTAGCTACAATGCAATATGTAAACACTTTTCTTATTAACTACATATTTGAGTTCCTCTCAATTCAATACTTCATAATTTTTGGTATTTATTAAAATTTCATCAACATTAAAAATGTATAAATATTATTAATTATG